TCCTCTAATGGATTTGAGCAAAGTAAATTGAAAACCTTCCATAAAGAATTTGCCATTCTAGATGCCATTAAAATAATCTGCGATTCACTGCAAGAGGTCAAAATATCAATATTAACAGGAGTTTGGAAGAAGTTGATTCCAATCCCCATGCATAACTTCGGGGGTTTAAGACTTCAATGGAGGAAGCAACTGCTTGTAGATGCGGTGGAAATAGAGAATTAGAATTAAAAATGGAGCCTGGAGATTTTACTGAATTGCTGCAATCTCATGATAAAACATTAACAGATTTGTTTCTTTACAGATTAACATTAACAGGAATTGTTTCTTATAGATGAGTAAATATTCTTGATGGAAATTATTTCCAGTGAATACAACTGAAATGAAATCCAAGGATTTAGAATATCACATAAACTTAGTTGATAAATCAGCAGCAAGGTTTAAGAGGAATGACTTAATTTTAAAAGAAGTTCTGTTTGTAAAATGCTATCAAAACAGTATCACCTGCCACAGAGAAATCTTTCATGAAAAGAAGAGTCAATCAATGTGCAAAACTCACTGTTGTTACCAAGTATGGTAGCACACGCCCATAATCACAGCAACTTGGAAGGCAGAGGCAGGAGGATCTTTTTTTTTTTTTTTTAATATTTTTATTTTTTTTTAGTTATTGGCGGACACATCACCTTTGTATGTGGTGCTGAGGATTGAACCCGGGCCACACGCATACCAGGCGAGCGCGCTACCGCTTGAGCCACATCCCCAGCCCCAGCAGGAGGATCTTTGGCTAAACACTAAACTGCACATGTGCAGTGTGTGATTCCATGAGGCAAATTCAAACCACCCTCAACAACTTGCCAATGTCCTAAGCAACTTAGCAAGACCCTGTCTCAAAATGGGGGGGGGGGGGGGGGGGGGGGGGGGGGGGGAGGGGGGGGGGGGGGGGGGGGGGGGGGGGGGGGGGCTGGGGTTGTGGCTCAGTGGTAGAGTGCTTGCCTAGTATGCATGAGGCACTGGATTTGAACCTCAGCACCGCATAAATATAAAATAAAGATATTGTGTCCACCTAAAACTAAAAAACAAATATTAAAAAAAAGAGAGAGAGAACTGGGGATGTGGCTCAGTAGTTAAGTGCCCCTGGGTTCAATCCCTGGTACCAAAAAAAAAACAAAAACCACTGTTACCTTATTTTAAGAAATTGCCACAGCCACCCCAACCTTTAGCAACCACAGCAGCCATCAACATTACGATAAGACACTCCACGAACAAAAATATTATGACTTGGGGATGAGGCTGTAGCTCAGTGATAAAGTGCTTGCCTCACATGTGTGAAGCACTGGGTTCAATCCTCAGCACCACATAAAAATAAATAAAGATACTATGTGTTCATTGACTTAATGAAAGCTCAAATGATCACTAGCATTTTTTATTATTTTATAAGTAAAAGTATTTTCTAATTAAGTAAGTTACGCACTTTTTTTAGACATGATGCATGGCACTCATAATATACTACAATATAATGTCAACATAAATTTTATATTCACTGAGAAATCAAAACTCTCCTGTGGCTCATTTTATTGCATTTTTTTCCTCTATTACAGTGGTTTAGAACTGTACTAGTTGGGGCTTCCCAACTTATAGACAACAAATCAAACACCCAATCTCTGAGGACTTCTTCCAAAATTTTTTGATGTAATACTAGAATAAATAAAACTGAAGTGCACATCACTAGAAACTGACTGTCTAAGCCCCCCACACACACCAAATTCAAATGTTGAATCCAAACCCCAAAATGGTGTTATTAAGAGATGGCACTCCGGGACCCGATTAGGTTAAGGGGTTTCCCCATGACTGGGATTAGTACCATTTAAGAAATACTCTAGAGAGCTCCCTTACCCTTTCTACATGTGAGGACATAGTGAGAAGACTAAGATGTATAGACCTTCACTAGACACTGAATGCCAGAAACTTGACAGCCTCAAGAACTGCGTGCAACAAATGTCTACTATTTATAATTCACCCAAGCTATTTTATTTTGTTACAGTAGCCTTAACACAAACAACTATGCCTATTCAACCTTCATCTTCCTGTCTGATTTCTTTAAAGAGAAGTACACACAGAACTCCAAAAAATTGCTTAGTGGGGCCTGGGTTGTAGCTCAGTGGTAGAGCACTTGCCTAGCATGTATGAGGCACTGAGTTTGATCTTCAGCACCAAATAAAGATAAATAAATAAAATAAAGGTATTGTGTCCATCTACAACTAAAAACATTGTAAAAAAAAAATTGCTTAGAGGTCCCTTAAGTCTTTGGTTGAACACTAAACTACATATGTGTAGTGTGTAACTCCATGAGGCAAGTAGAAAATACCTGGGTAACTGATCTGGATGATTCCTAGAGTTCACACAGGGCAGTAAGATGTTCAAGTTTTAACCAGTCAAAATGGGAAGACCTAACTGAACACCCAAAGCATTTCAAAATAGACATTCCAAAATTGCCCCAGAATAGAAGGTACCAAGACATGCCTTAATAAAGCTTGAAAACAAACTTTGAAAGAAAATGCTGATATGCAAACAAATTGCCTACAAAAACAAAACTTAACACTCTTTAAGGGAAGAAAATGAAATCCAGAGACTCAACACCACACTTCTCATAATATCTACCATCCAATCAAAAGTTACCAGACATATGCCAGGTGTGGTGACACACACCTGTAACCCCAGTGACTCGGGAGGCTGAGGCAGGAGGATCATGAGCTCAAAGCCAGCCTCAGCAAAAAGTAAGGCACTAAGCAACTCAATGAAACCCTGTCTCTAAATAAAATACAAAGTAGGGCTGGGGATATGGCTCAGAGATTGAGTGCCCCTGAGTTCAATCCCCTGTATCTCACCCCACTCCCCAAAAAAAGTTACCAGACATGTAAAGAAGTAGGAAAACATGATCCAAAATTAGAAGAAAACTCAGTTAAGAGTAACAAATCAAGAAATGACTGAGATAATGGGATTTGCAGATAGACTTTAAATACCTGAATGGCTGACTAGCTACCCACATGGATAAACAAAAAGATTTAAAGAAAACAATACTAGAAGAAATCAAAGCCACAAAAAAGAATCAAAGAGAACATGTAGAACTGAAAAATACAAACCAAAACAAAAAAATGTACTGGATGAATTTAACTAAAGATTATAGACACTAAAGGAGAAAAGATAGTAAACTTGAAGACAGGACAACAGAAACTATTTCAAAGGAAGCACAATGAGAAAAGAAACTAGGGGGTGGGAAGTGAAGATAGGAGCTAGAAGCAGCTCAAAAATCCCCAAACAAAATAAACACAAAGAAAAGCAAATCATAATCAAATTTCTGAAACTCATGAAGTATATGAAAATATATTAAAAGCAGCCCAGGGGGTAGGAATGGGGAATATATCACATACAAAGGAATAAAGAAGTTCCACTCACTTCTGATCAAAAACAAGGTAAGCCAAAAGCAATGGAATGACATTCTTTAAAAAGCTGAAAGAAAAAATGTGTCAACCTGAAATTCTATCTCCACAAAATTATCCTCAGAAGTTAAGATGAAATAAGGGCATTTTTAGACAACAAAAGCAGACAGAATTCATCACTAACAGATATACACTACAACAAATGTTAAGAAAGTTCTTCAAGCTAAAAGGAAACATCAGAAGTCTCTCTCTACCCTAAACCCCTACTTTTGGACTCCAAAGCTTTATTTTGTACTTTCTCTTCCAGAACTCCATATTCAAGACCTGTTGCCCTTCTTCATCAATGTGGTTTCCCATACAAAAATTGTTTTCTCTGAACACCATTATTTAGCTTGACCTTTAAAACTGTAGTCTTACACTGGGCATGGTGGCACATGTCTATAATCACAATAGCTTGAAAGGCTGAGGCAGGAGGATCACAAGATCAAAGCCAGTCTCAGCAACTTAGTAAAGCTCTGAGCAACTTAGTGAGACCCTGTCTCAAAAAAAAAAAAAAAAAGGCTGGGGATATAGCTCAGTGGTTAAGTATCTCTGGGTTCAATCCTTGAAAAAAACTGTAGCCTTACCCTATCCTGTTCTTTATAGAACTTCATATCAAGTCATTCCAAGTTTTTCAGTTGCTTCATTAACTAGAAACTAGATTCAACACCCCCACACACAAAAAAAAAATCCTGCCATTGAGTATACTATAATGCACCAACCAAAAATATGGGGAGGAAAAAACTTCACCCAAAACAGGTTGGAGTGCAAGGCACGGGAAGGAAAAAAAAGAAGTAAAGCAGGAAGCAGTCCTATCAAAGAGGAAAGAGTAGATTTTTCTAAAAACAAAGTAGGTTAGGAAGATCACAACTGTCCTGCAGACACTATCCCAAGTCACACACAAGGCCTACCAGCTCTCCTTACCCAGACCACAAGGAAAGACTGTATGACTCATTGATATTATATGGAAAATATCTCCTGAAAACTGAGTACAATACAGCACAAGCCTTGATTCAGAAAAACCCAGTGGCATATTCAAGCTCTGTCACTTATTAGCTGCTTGACCTGCAGTTCATTTAAAATTCACAACAGCCCTATGAGATAGGTCCTATTAGGATCACAAGAAGATTACAGTGTTTACCCAAAGTAGTGCATTCAGGAAATGGGAGAGAAAGAATGTGAATCCAGGCCTCCTACACTGAACTGCCTCTTCAAGTGTACATCATATCTTGAGCATGTGACACATACCCTAGCAGTGTTCCTACAGGGAGAATGTGAAAATCAAGATGCTCATGCTAAACCTCTACATGTCATGTCTAATTCTGGCCGGGCCCTCAACTGGTTAAATGACTGTGGAAAGATACTGCCCTACAAGGGAGAAAAAGAAAGAAGACAAGTCAACTGTATTCCCAAAGCTAAATAAATACTGAGATAAAGAATTGGTGCTTTACAAATGAGAACTAATATGGATAAACCCAACCACCAGTTAGGAGAGAAAGAAGGAATCTGCAGAGGAGGATTTCCTACCTGGGGAGTGCTGGTGGTTCCTGAGGGACTACAGCAGCACCAGCCGCTGCTCCTGGAGCTTCTGCCTCCTCCAAGCCACCAGCCACTTCCTGTTTAGCATCCTGTGAGCCTGGAGGTTGCACTTTCTCTGCATCCCCAGGCCCACCTAATTCTGCAGGAGAGTCAATCTCTATTTCCTGAACTGGGACTGGGACCAGTTCCTTCTCAGCTGTACCAGTTACCACAGCCTTAGCTTCTTCTTCTTCTTTTCTCCTGATTTTCTCTTCAAGTTCCTTCCTTCTCTTCTCATCATCCTGACGGGCCATCTGATCAAAGGTTTTAAATACCTAAAATCAAATAGTAATCCAGCAGTCAGTTCATTTGCCCAGTACCGTCCCACACATCCTGTAGAAATATAGCAAAAATAAAATATAGAATAAAAAAGAAGTAAACAGAAAACTTTTCTTTGGAAAAATGGAAATGTGCTGCAACTTCACCAAAAAACTTTTAGAGTAAAATATCAAAATCAAAAACAAGCTAAGACTAACAATATTTACATAGATGATCCTAGCTATCATAATTTTTATAGGCCCCAATCTTAGTCACAATGCAAAGAACATTCTCCTGGTACTGTGGGTCTGTGAGGGTGCCAACAACTCAGACTCAAAAATGAAAGATGAGGGGCTGGGGCTGGGGCTCAGTGGCAGAGTGCTTGCCTAGCATGTGTGAGGCACTGGGTTCAATTCTCAGCACCACGTATCAATAAATAAAATAAAGGTTCATTGACAACTAAAAAAAATATTTTAAAAAAATGAAAGATGAAAATATAGTTGAACTTCAATCCTCAAAATGCACCTAGGCTGGGCTGGGGTTACAGCTCAGTGGTACAATGCTTGCCTAGCATGTGTGAGACACTGGGTTTGATCCTCAGCACCACATAAAAAATAAATTAAAAAAATAAAATTATTTAGCTGGGCGCCGTGGCACACACCTGTAATCCCAGCAGCTGGGAAGGCTGAAGCAGAAGGATAGCGAGTTCAAAACCAGCCTCAGCAATAGCAAAGCACTAAGCAACTCAGTGAGACCCTGTCTCTAAATACACAATAAGGCTGGGAAATGTGGCTCAGTGGCTGAGTCCCCCTGAGTTCAATCCCCAGTTTTCCCACACACACACACACAAAAAAGTGTTTAAAAAAAAAAAATGCACCTAATCTTACTGAACTGCTGCTACCCTCCTACACTAAGGGCTGAAAGGAGGCATGGACATTCGATTCTACAAACATCCACTGTGTGCCTAACAATATATGAGGAACACAAAATCAAAAACAACTTTCTACGTTTGCAGATCTGGTGTGTAGACAAGTCCTTACCATTTTCTGTAACTCAGTCACACCCCTGAAGATACTCAGACCCCTCCATCAAAAAAGTATAAAGTTAAAACAGACCCACACCCAACAACTCTGATACAAGAGGGGCATGATGGAATACTTGATGTCCTGTCAAGACTGCAGGCAGGAATGAGCACTTCTGATGAAAGAAATCAGAGGAAGTAGAAAGGAGATCTCAACTGGACCTGAAAGAAGAGGCATATCTTCCAAATGCTACAGCTCTAAGAAGTAGACTCATCAAGAAACAGAGCCTCTGTAGTAGCTGAAGGAATAGCTAAGAAACTAACTGGGGAAATGGGTGGGAGTCAGATTCCAGAAGGCTAAAATGCAGAAGGCATTTGATAACAATGTCTGTACACTACACAGGAAGACAGAACAAAAGACAGGTGCTACCATAGGAACCGTGCTGAACAATTCTAAAAACACTCTTGAAAATTCTGTGAAGAATGGGCTGGAGATGGAGCTCAGTGGTAAGAGCACTTCCTTAGCATGCATGAGTCCCTGACTTCAATCCCCATTGCTAGAAGAAAAATATAAAATAACACAGGAAGAATACTCCATCAACATTCCAAAAATGAGGACAAATAAGGCTCAGAGGGATCAAGTAACTCACCCACAGTCCTGTCAAAAAAAAGGATAGTAAAAAATTACACATGACACAACAAGCAGCAAAAGGTAATGTAAGCAGAGGAAAATAAATAAAATCCTATAAGGTTAAAAACTGGAGACAATCCTAGACCCATTTCCATTCTGCAGATCAGCGGAAGTCCTGACTCATTTCTCTCCAACATTCATCCTGACAACAGCTCAGGTCCTTTGCCCTCAGAGCCACTCTACCTCTCAAGGTCCTAGATCTACTTAACTCCAAAAAGCAAAGTAGCAAAGAACCTCTCTCACAACCTAAAACTTCTAACACAAGACCCCCACTGTGGGGGGTCAGATGGTCCTCAGAGTGCATACTAACTCTAATACTCAGCACATCCAACCTTCTCTGACCAGCACAACCTAGAAGTACTCTCAAATCACAAAGACCTCCCAGCTACCACATGTTCTAGTACTCATTTTAGAATCACAGAATACTAGATTAAGAGACATACCTGACCTCCAATCAACCTCCTCACCTGACAATAGGTGAAGTGACTCTCCCAATATTTCCCAATAAGCTATATAAGGAACAGGACACAGCTGGCTTTCCCAATTCTTATACTGAGGACTTCTACTTAGCAGTACTTCTCAAACTGAACTCCAAGATAAACACCAAGTTATCAAAAATGGCATGTTTTCTTAAAACATACACTACCTTATGGAATGGAATGCAATTTTCACATATATCATTTATGCTAAGGGTCTTTCAAGTTGTACATCCATACTCATACTTGCTTAGACTGGGAGGAAATGTGTAAGACACCCTACACTAACTATACCAACAGTCCTCTCCCCAAAATATCAGAGGAAAGCTTTCAAGTTCCAGAAAGCAGTCCAACAACACTGGACAACAAACCCATCCAACCCATCTCACAGAGAGCTGAAGCATCCCACCTCAGGTGAGGGAGTCACAGAAAGGAATCTTATGACAGCCAATCAGGAACAGAAAAAAACCCTAAGAGGCAGATAAATGGGAATGGTCAGGAGATGACCTACCCCCACCCAAAGATAATGCTGTGCTGTTATCAAACCACTTAATCTGATTCAATATTTTATTGTCCTACCCTCAACAACTTTGCCAATATAGAAATCACCTTTACAAGTCTCCTGCCACATGACCTTCTGTGAAAACAATTACACAGAACTCACCCATATTTATCCAACAAAAATGGCCAAAGAATGTACTTTAAAAGTTTCTTGGGTAATGCTGATGTTTGTGAAGACTTCCAGGGGGATAAAAAAAAAAAAAAGACACCCCTTTTAGTCATCTGCTGGAGACTTTCACCTTGGTTTCTGTGAAACATACTGCCCTTCAATGATTATTCCCCAAAATGTTCTCCACCTCTGGTTTTTCTATTTCAGATCTCTCCAGTCCTCCATCTCCTGCAAGATTCGGTCGCAGGCTGAGTATGGTGGTTCACACCTGTAATCCCAGTGACTCAGGAGGCTGAGACAGGAGGATTCCAAGTTCAAGACCAGCCTGGGCAACTTAGTGAGACCCTGTCTCAAAATAAGAAGTAAATAAGGGCTAGTCGTAGCTCAGTGTTAAAGCACCCCTAAGTTCCATTCCCAGTACTGCCAAAAATAAAAATAGAAAGAGGAAGGCCAGGCACAGTGGCACACACAGCAATTCGGGAAGCTGAGGCAGAAGGATTATCAGCAACTTGTCGAGGCTATCAGCAACTCAGCAAGACCCTGTCTCTAAATAAAATACAAAAAAGGGCTGGAGATGTGTGGTCCAGTGGTTAAGTGCCCATGGGTTCAATCCCCAGTACCAAAAAAAAGGAAAGGATTGTGCATATAGCTCAGTAGCAGAGTGATTGGGGGCAGAGGGCGCAGAGAGATTTGTAATCAAAAAGCAATCTTTTACTGTACACAGTGGTACACACATATAATCCCAGCAGCTCAGGAGGCTGAGATGTAGCTCAGTGTTTAAGTGGCCCTGAGTTCAATCCCTCCTCCAAAAAAAAGTACCCCCCAAAGAAAGCTATGATGAATAGGCTGTGTGTTCTTATCATATCATTCAACCTTACTGAACTACCACATAAAATTCAACTTTATTTCAGAGATACTTTGAAGATCAAGAAACAAGATTTCATTAAACTGCCATAATGTCCTGCTAAAAACCACCTATGACAGCTCTCTGATCATTCAGAAGGTACTTGGGCCTCCAATAAGGCTGAGGAATAATGGCCTTTGAGTCTGAAATTGAAACCCTAATGGAGTGCCAACCTCACTTCTCACCTGACCATCATTATGTTTGTAGGTACTGGGTCATTCTAAGCTTTGGTTTCTTCCTGGAGGTGCTAAAGAAAGTAAAACCTGATCATCATCCTGGAGCCTGCAATAAAATTTCAGACAGAAATACAAAGCACTTTATAGGTGCTAGAGAACCATGGGAGGTATCAGCAGTATTTCCATCTTCTCAGGTTCCTACACTCAATGCTCACCTGAATACTTCTTTCAATTTTGTCAAAAGCCCCATCTCTCTTACAAAAACCTTCTCAATTCCCTATTCCTTTCCTTTCAACCAGCTCTATTGCTTAAGTGGTCCTGCAAGTTCTCTATTATATTCTGTGTTTTATTTTCTTAACTGTAAGCGTCACAAGTAACAAGACCAGTATTTAAACACCCACATCACCAGTGTCTGTGGCAGCCAACTGTAAAACATATTCAGAAAATGCTTATTACTACATTCAAAAGGGCCCGGTCAACCTCATTCAATAAGAATTAAGAGTGCTTCAACCACACACACACACACACACACACAAATTAACCTGGGATGTATAGATTTAAATCCAAATGCAAATTTAATAATCATATCGACCTGGGATATCATATTTGAACAAGCGGCCACACCCACAGATCAACACATTACTTCAGTTATCCTTGCCACCTCTGGTCTGGTAGCTCTGGAACGTGCAAGTTTCTGCTATTGTAAATGTCTTTCCTCTGGTTCTCCTAACACTGTTTTCACCTTACATCCAGCAGTCCCCCTCACTGCGTAGAGTATGATCGTAAGCGTGAAGCAGGGCCAATAGCCGACTGGCTGCTTCGGACACCCAGGTACCTCCGACATAGTGCCAGAGATGCTCCCACCGCAGAGCAGCCTGATATCTGATCCGCACAAGTTACCCACGGCCATTCGTTCGGGGTCACCTCGGCGATCCCTGGGAAAAGCGGAGGCCTGAGAGGAGCTGCGCGCAGGGTCGAGGGTATGGGATCCTGGCCCGGTGCCGGGAGGTGACCCCACGGCCCACACGTTCCCCTCCTCACCTGCAGCACCATAGCTTGTGCGGCCCCGGGCGGGAAGCCCATGCGGTCCGATGGGTGGCGCAGCAGGCGGTAGAAATCAGTCTTGCGGTAGAGGAAGCCGAAGAGAACGCGCAGAAAGTCCTGGACATTGCCCACGTGTTGCAAGATGCCCAGCAGGGCCTGGTCATATAGTTCAGCAGCCCCGGGCTCCATGTCTCCGCAGTCCGAGGGACTCCACCACCGGCACCAACTCGGACCGGCCAATTGACCACTTCCGGCGTGCGCTCCTAACGGCTCCCCCGGACAGAGAGGCCGTGGAACTTCCGGTCCGCGCCTGTTCCTGCCTGCAAACCGAGTATGCTCTCCGCGGCCCCCGCGGCCCCACTGGGCTTTGCCCCAGAGCAGCATTCGCTAAAAGAGCCTGACGTGGGCCCCCTTGTGGCTCCTACGCACAAGAAAGCCGATGGTTACTGGGCAGAGCGTGCCTGGCGGCCATGTTCGAAGAGGGCGGAAGAGTTGAAGTGAGCAGCATCACATCATCCGTTGGTTTTTGTCACGTGTTGTGGTGTTAACTTCCCGCCCAAATGTCTCTAGCCCTTAGGTAAACCTCGGACCCTGGTGCTTGTTTAGTTGTTAGTAGGTCGGAGAAGGGAAATTCTGTGCTTGTTATTTGTATGAATTTCAATTAATACAGAGCTGTGGTCAGGCGAGATATCTCGGTGCATGCCCGTAATCCAGGCAGCCCGAAGGCTGAAGCAGGAGGATTTCCAAATTAAAGGCCAGCCTCAGCAATTTAGAGAGACCTTGTCTCAAAAATAAAAAGGGCTGGGAATGTGGCTCTGTGGTAAAGCGCCCCAGAACACCCGCACCCCCCAATAAAAGAGTCTGAGTGAAACTCAGGCCTGTTGCAACAGAAGAAATTAAAGATGACTTTAAAAGGACAAGAAAAAAACATAGAATGCATCCACTTATAAGTTGGAAATGCCCCGTGCAAAATAAAGAATCTAATATGCTATCATTGTGAAATAAAAGTCTGTGTTATGTGTACTATGATATATATCTATGTGTCATATGTACCTAAGTGTGTGTCAAAGTATAATCTCAAAAAAACTGTACCAGAGATATGGTAAAACTGCTTCAAAGAGTTTTTTGAGGAACTGGGTGTTTACAGATATCTTAAGAAAATGTTAAATGTAAGATGGTTGGAATAAATGCTAATCAGATTGGTGTTCTACAAGATGATAAAACTGTAGGTAATCATTTCTAGTGGACAAATGACTTACACCTATACTGGACTAAAATCTGCAAGTTAACATCTTCACAGTGTATGGTCTCTGATGAATTTTAAATAAGGTCACACTGAAGTAAATTGCCCTAGAGCAGTGGTTCTGAAAAGTTTTTTTTTACTTAGGACCCATTTATGCTCTTAAAATTTGTTGAAGACTCCAAAAATTTTGGTTTGTATTAGTTTTGTTTATCAGTATTTATTATATTGGAAATTAAAATTAGTTTTTCAAATATATATTCATTTTTAAATAACCATAAAAACACATCATATGTTAACATTCTTTTTCAGGAAAAAATAATATTCTTCAAAGCAGTAAAAATTTAGTGAGAAGAGTAACAGTTTTACATTTTTGCAAATCTTTTTAATGTCTGGATTAATGGAAGACAGTAAGATCCTCACATGATACACTATGTTATGCAGTTCTTCCAAATGTTCACTAGTTTTATTACACAATGTCAAAAAAAAAAGTCACATTGGGCCAGGGAGGTGGCCCACCCTGTAATCCCAGCAGTTTGGAAGGCTGAGACAGGATTGCAAAAGCAAGGTGCTAAGCAATTCAGTGAGACCCTGTCTCTAAATAAAATTCAAAATAGGGCTGGGGATGTGGCTGTGTGGTTGAATGCCCCTGAATTAAAACCCTGGTACAAAAAAAAAAAAAAAAAAAAAAGTCACATTGGATTAGTTTCCCATTGACCTCACCAGAGAATGTTTTAGTTATTGGGAAGCTGTCAAGCTTATAGAGGTAGGATGTATGTTTTAAATTTTTTTAATTTTGGCTTTAAAACTTGAACTTTATTATTGGCATTAAATACCATCAATTGTTTGCCTGGAGGTGACAGTCTTACTTCATTCTATCATGCAGTAGAAATGATAGTCCATGAAAAGAGGTTTAACTCATTTACTGACAACTCAATTGTCCAAGTGCTTTGCATCGAAGCAACTGCCACCTCAATATGAAACAGAAGTATTTTATGTGTAGTTCTCTTCATCACACAGAATGTTAAGATTTTTTTCTCAAGTGTCAATAATTAATAAAATTTAAAAATTCAACACTTCATCAGGAACACTCATAAGTGGAACTATATATTTTTAATTTTTACCAGAAGTGCAAAGCAGTGAATAATATAGTGCTACAATGCCTACTAGTGGAGTTTGGTGCCTTTTATGGACTGAATGTGTCTCCCCCAAATTCATATGTTGTAGCATTAACCCCCATTGTGACTGTATTTGGAGATACAGACTTCAGTAAGGTAATTAAGGTTAAATGAAGTCAAATGAGTGGGGCCCAACCCTATAGAGCTCGTATCTTTTCTTTTTTAGAGGAGTGTGTGTATATTGCCTAGGGGATTAGAACCCAGGGCCTTGTGCATGAAAGGCAAGCACTCTAACAATTGAGCTATATCCCTGGCACCAGGATATATACCAAAAGGAAAAGACATTAGCAGTCTTGTTACTGGCAGCCACTAGGCCTGCCTGCCTAAGAAATAAGCAAAAGATATAAAAAGGAAAAATGAATTTTATGCAGTTTGATCAAACTGGGGAGAAGCAGCTAGATTGTTTCTCTTTAGTCTTATGAACACTGTTGCAATTTATAGGAACAAAAGTAAGGATATACATAGATGTAGATTTAGTTAGACTGTGCTAGCCAAGAGGACATGTCACTTTTAGCTCCTTTGTCCCCCATACTTGCCATAGGAGTATTTGGTTTGGGAGGACTATTTGAAGCTTTTAATTTTAAAGGATTTCCATTTTGATCTCTACACAAAAGAAAGATCAAATGAGGATACAATGAGATTGCTATAAGCCAGGAAAAGAGCCCCCTCACCAGATAACAATCCTGACAGCACCTTGATCTTGAACTTCCAGCCTCTAGAACTGTAAGAGAATACATTTCTGTTAATCCACTTTAGTCTATGGTGCTTTGTTACAATACCCTAGCAGTGCAAGTACTTTGATTTCTGCTGAGACAATTACAGTTTTACCTTCGTTGCTTTGGGGCCATTACCACCAATGCTAACATAGTAAAAAGGCAAATAATATTGTTATTTTGACCTTGAAAGCAAACCAACACCACCACCCCACCACCCCGCCTCCCGGAGGGTTCACATACTACATTCTGAGAATCTCTGCCCTGAAGAAGTAATGAATTGTTGGGTGAGCCTCAATAGACTTTGAAAGGACTTGCTGTCATCTCACTATATTTCAAAATTTTCAATAATTTCTTTAACATCTAAAATTATCATAAGAAATAAAACAGTCTCCAGAGAGGGAAAATCAACAGAAACTGCAGTATAAAAGAGAACAGATGTGACTGTATGACCAATGTGATGCTACAGTATGTATACTCAGAAAAATGAGAAATTATATCCCATCAAAGTATGGGATATAATTTGATGATATATCAAAGTATACAAGTGCATTCTATTGTCATGTATGACTAATTAAAAAAATAAGCAAGCACTTTTTAAATTAAAAAAGAAAGAGAACAGAGACTTACTTTTGAATCTGATACCACATGGTATTACCACATGCATTACCTATTCAAAAAATATATAAAATTATTTTGAAAATAAAGTTAATAGAAAGCTAAATATAATCCTACAATACAATCCAGCAATTGTGCTCTTATATATTTACCCAACTTATTTGAAAATTATGTCCACACAAAAACCTACAATAAATATTTATTGCAACTTTATTCATAATTGTCAAAACTTGGAAGCAACCAAGATTTCCTCAATAAACGAATGGCTAAGCAAAGTGTAGTATATTCATAAAACAAAATATCACTCAGCAATAAGAAAAAATGAGCTATACAACTACCAAAAAAAACTGGATTAATATTAAATTCATCTTGCTAAGAAATAGAAGGAAGTCAGAAAATCCTATCATCCAATTACATGACATTATGGAAAAGGCAAAATATGGAAAGAGTAATAAGATCAGTGATTTCCAGGTCTCAGTTGTGAGAAAAGATTGAATAGGCAAAGTATGGGAATTATTTAGGATGTAAAACTATTCTGTAAGATATTAATTATGGATATATGACACTGTAAATTTGTCAAAACTCAGAAATCTAAGGCGTAGAGTGTTAATATATGCAAAATTGCTTAGGAAATTGAGGGATCTGAGAACAGAATGCAGAATATGACAAATGTAACAATGTAACTTTATTACAAATGTATGAAACGTCTTATCTAAAGGGAGTAGTAGAAAGATAGTGACCTAAGTAACTTTGGAAATGAACAGAGTCAGTAAGACTGAAGGCAAAAGGAACAGTACACAGACTTTGAACTGTGGCCAATAAGAGTTTATCACAAGGGGTTGGGGTTGTGGCTCAGAGGTAGAGCATTTGCCTACCATGCGTCAGGCACTGGGTTTGATCCTCAGCACCATATAAAAATAAAATAAAATAAAGATATTGCATCTACCTACAACCAAAAAATAAATATTAAAAAAAGAGTTTAACACAAGTATCCTTGTGCTTCCCAGAAGAATATAGATTATCAGTTCTGAAATCACTAGATATAGGGTGGAAAGAACAATGAAGTAAATGGTTGTGGGTAGTAGAAGCCAGATTTTTCACTGTTGGAGTAGGAGGTTACAGAAAAGCAAAGGAAAGAGGCTAGAATGATCCACGTGATAATGAGTCTAAGTTAGACACATTGGTATAAATTTAAGTTTAGCTTACTGTAGATACATATGACTACATGTAGAATCATTTATAGAAATGTGTCTATACTGGTTAGTGTACATGCATATTTCCTTCCTCTCAGCTGAAAGAATCCAGAAGCATTGCCTCAGCATCAATGAATACACCCCAGAATGATATTGGTTTCTAATATCATTCTCCAATAGAAAACCAGGACTCCTTGGAGAAGTGATTCTAGAATTACTGCAGAAAATATGCAAGATTAGTCTGGGTCATCTTGCAGTGTCTCAAAATAAAAAAGCAGTAAAACACACAATTATGAGGTATGGCAAAGGAATAAGAGTCAACTGAAAAAGTGCCCAGTAACCAGAGCTGGAACAAGCCAAGCAACAAAATAAAGTAGCATTATATTAGAACACAAAGTACAAATTGAATATATATGAGTCCATACTTATATTGATTGATATATAGGACACATATACAGATATATGGATAAATATATATGTATATATATATATGTGTCATACTGAACAAATAAATGGAAGAGAATAGTCAAATAGCTGTTCAGAAGAATTGC